AAAAAAAAAAAAAAGAGAGAGAGAGGGGGACAAAGGGGAGAGAAGATGGAAGGAGAAGCAAGAAGAGAGGGCTCCCCCTCCAGTTCTGCTGCTTGGTGTGGATTCAATCCTCCTCCTCCCGTTTGGGCAGAGGCATCTGGGGGGAATGAGGCTGCCCGCAGTTCACAGCGTGCCTTTGGTTAGGCTCAGGTGGCAATTTCAGGCCCCAAGCCACTCCTCCCTGCCTGCCTTTTCCCACTCCCTGAAGGCCTCAGGAGAGGTTTAGGAGAAGAGGAAGTAGAGAACAGGCGGGTGAGCCCTGCCCCACCTCCTCTGTCCTCTAGAGCACTGGCCCAAAAGAGGCCACACTTTCTCCCCGCTGAGAGGTCGTTTATCCAAGTGTTGCTTTCTCTTTATATCTCTTTCCTGTCTCAGTACACAGGAGCTGCACAGGCATCACCTGCCACACTCACGTCCACACACCCGTCCTTTGTCACTCACCTACACCTGGATGCAAGGCTCCCATACATCTGTGGACAGAACACGTTCCCTTTTATGCCTGAATCAATCAAATGCATGGACCCTCTGCAGAAGCTACCCCTCCTCCTGCATCGGGTCTATGACTTCCCATTATCATCCCAGAGTCCCACATCCCCTGAGGCTAGGGAGTGGGCAAGGGGTGAAGAAGAGCTGCCATGGAGGCTAGTGGCCAGAGTCCCTGACCTTGGCTTGAGGACCAGTCCCCCTGTACCAGGCATCTTTCTGTGCCCCACTACAATTCTTCCCCACTCTGTCCTCACTGCTTTCCTTTCTGGAGTTCCCTGACCTTTCCTCCCTCCTCCTGGTAATTCCTTTGGGGTCAGAGTCTGGAAGTCTCCCTTCTGGCCAGCTCCTGCCTAAGGAATACTTAGACTAGGTGCAGAATTAAGGCTCAGTGCCCAGGCTGAGCAGAGAGAGGTCCAGGGGGGAGGACAAATGGCTATTATTCTTGGGACTGGAAGCTTTAGGAGTGAATGAGAAAAAAAACAGCTTCTGCAACCTTCCTTCAGTCCCCGTCTCCTAGGTCAATGGTGCTTCCTCTCCCACTTGGCCTGGGGAGCTATCAGCCTGGATCTCCAAGTCAGGGCTTCCAGGGGAGCGGGTGGGGGAACAGGAGGGGCACAAGAGGATGTGCTAGCCAGACAGTTCCCACTGGCACAGCCACTTCCCTCTTTTTTTCATTCTCCAGAGGAAGCACCAGGAAGGAGATGCTGGAAAGAAGGCAGAGAAGGAAGGAGGAGGGAATGTCTGGCAGCAGCAATGCCAGGCCCGGAAGGCTGCAGAGCAAGGGTAGGCTGTGAGGGATGGCTCCAGCCTGGAAGATAAGGACAGATGAGCCTGTATGGGGGTAGCTGCCCTGGGCCCAACCCTCCAGACCCTCGGGGTTCACTCAACCCTGGCCACCAGGCAGGGGCTTGGCCCCACTACTCTTTCTCTGGATGCCACTCCCCAGAATCCTGCAGGGAAGAAAGGAAAGCAGGACAGAGGGCCTAGTAGTGGGGGCAGTGCCGAAAGATCACAGATCCTGGAGAAGGCCTAGATCTAAGCCTCACCTCTGCTACTCACTGTGTGACCCGGGGCAAGTCCCATAACCCTTTGAACCTGAGTCCTCTTCTGTAAAGTAAGGATCATTTTTTCCTCAAAGAGTTGTCAAAAGAACTGTATTCAGTAAAGGAACAATTATCCTAGTCATTATTGTCAAGGCAGAGGAGAGCAGATAAGACAAGCCATCACCACCCAAAGGGCGGCCATCCCTGTGCCAGACTAGGCCACCATCCCCACCCGGTTCTGAGAGGGGCTCCCCTCCCGGCTGCCCCACCTCATTAAGGTGAGAAAGTGACCGGGAGAAGGAGTTCGAGACACTGAAACTGAGATAGATAAAGGATCAAAACTAAGAGAGACTGAAGATAGGATGGAAAGAAGCAGAAAAGAAGATGGCAAGAAAAGACGGTCTGGCACCTCGCGCGGCATCTGGCGTGCAGTAGGCACGCTGCAAGTGTTTGCTGGAAGACAAGCTCAGTGCCAAGAAGGAGGCTGGACCAATCCGTGGAGCATCGATAGGAACATGTTGGACATCAACAGCTCTGGACAGAAGAAAGAATGGAGACTTGGAACAAAGGAAGCCAGCAACCTGTAAGAGCTGGAGCCAGATGCTGTGAGGCTGTCCCCAGTGAGCCCCCCGCTGCTGCCCCAGCCTCCCACCCACTCCCTGGGGCTAGATGCCCCAAGTCTTGCCACTTCTCACAGCATCTCAGTCTCTGTTGGCATTCTGAAGTCTCCCGGTGTTACCTCTTCTGGCCCTGCAGAGAGTTCTCCGTCTTCCCCAGCTCTGTGGGGAGAGGAAGGCTCAGGATGGGCCTGGCTGACCTCCTCCTCTGGCTCTGACTCTGGCTCCAGGAGGTTCTGTAGCTCGGTGTACAGCACACAGGCATCATTCCGTGACACGTACTCCCATCCACTCTCCCGCACGTGGAAAAGGTCGACAGAGCCCCCTGAATAGGCATCGCGGTGGGTAGCATGGGCCACGGCACGGCGAGCCAGGGCATAGGCTTCCTGGGTGGTCATGTCGTAATGGTAGCCACGGTCTAGCACGCCGTAGGCATAAGGAGATCCAGAACCCACTGAGAAGATGTCCCCCTGCAGGCGGGTGCCGTCACTGTAGACATAGAAGAGGGCAGGACCAGAGCGGTCCCAGCCACACAGGGCAGTGGCCACACACAGATCCAGCCCCCGGTAGCGGGACATCATGGCTGACAAGAACTTGGCAGCGCTAGCCACACTGGGCAGCTGACCCTCCCTGAGTGCCCGGAGCCGCAACTCCCGCTGTAGTATCCGATACCACATGACACAGTCGGCAGAAGTGCCAGAAGTGGTACCCAGGAGGTGCTGGTGCACAGGAATGACCTTGCGTGAGGCCGGACAGGCCACGTAGCTCCCACAGGAAGACCGCGTGTCAGCTGCAGCAATGACTCCATGACGGAAGCGGAAGGCCAGGGTGGTAGTGCCGTGGGCCAGCTTGGGGCCATGGATCTGTAGGAAGGCTTGAGGGTCACAGCCCCGGGGCACAGCCCAGCCACCAGCCTGAGGCAAGTGGGGTGATGGCCCCTGGGTGTCCCCAGCCTGCCACTTGCACACATCCTGCAGAGCCATCCCTGAGGCTGAGTGAAGGTCAGAAGGAGAGAGGCAGGGATTTGTGGACTAGGGTCAGGTTAGGAAAGAGGGACGCTTCAGAGAAGCTGGGCCGCAGCCAGAACCAGAGACAAAGGCATGTGAGCGGACGCTTCATTTCTCCCAGCCCCAAATCAGGCTGTGGGATTGGCTGATGGAGCAGCCCCCTCCTCCTCGCAGGATGGCTGAGGGGAGGCAGGATGCGGCCAGTGGAGCTGGGAAGATGCTGCCCCATCAGTCAGACCTTCACCTTCTGCTGCCCATGACGCGTCGAAGCGTCACCCAAAGAGTCTCCTGTCTGTCATCCTTCAACTCTCCAGAGTGGGGTGGGGGGCTAAGATGACTCAAAGGAAAACAGGCGTAAGTGGAAGGAGTAGTGTTTTTCCTGTGCGGGGCATGGGGCACGCAAAGACAAATAAGGCCCAGGCCCTGCCCCGAGATAGCTCCCGGCCCTGGAGGAGGTGGTGACAACTCAGTGCTCTGATGTGGTCCCAGCAGGGTGCTGTAACCCACTGAGGCAGGAGGCCCTGGTGCTGGAGAATCTTTTCAGAGGCTCAGGGGCAGGAAACTCAGGCTCAACTCACACTTTCAACTCATGGGCAAGATGGGGAAGGAAAAATGGAGAGGCAAGGACAAAAGAGAAAAGAGCAAGAGAGTTTTGTAGGGGGCAAAAGAGAAAGAGGCTCAGATACCTTTCAGAAAGGCAGATTTCTGAGAAACGAGGGAAACTAGAACCCGGAGCTCTTTCTCCTCTGTTTTGGGGATTTAAATGTCTTCTCTACACAAAGATGGCATTCCAGACAGTTCTCTGGCAATGTGGCTTGGTTCACTTGTGTTGAAGTCCTGAGGGTGTAGGTAAAAGGATCCAGCGGCCCTCTGTCTCCTGCTCCCCCTTCTGCCTAGTACTTCACAATGGCGAGAGGGCTGTTTATAGTTCCAGGGCAGGAGAAACTGATCTTGACCCCATAATGCTGAGTCTAAGTCTTAGAGACCAACCAGGGGTTGTCCAGGGTGGGGCTGGTGGATCCTGAAAAGCCCTTCAGAAAGCTGAAGTCGACTGGGGCAGAGCGACAAGCTGCATCTCCTTCCAGCACCACATGGAGTATGCATATTTCACTAAGCATAGCAGCTCAAGGTGGTGCTGTGGCAGAGAAACAGACACACACGCAAAGGAAAGAGCATGGACCCTCCAGACATCATAATGGTGGGGCTATGGCATCATATTTTCTCGGGGTCTCAGTACTGAGGGTACACATGCTATGGGAAGACTGGAGAAACCAGGAGGGTATGCTAAGTCCTTCTTGCTTCCATGGGGTGGAGCATGTGGAATGTTACTGAAGAGTTAAGACTATATCCTCTTTCTAAAGAATAAGTCAGGCCGGGCATGGTGGCTCACGTCTATAAACCCAGCACTTTGGGAAGCTGAGGTGAGAGGATTGCCTGAGCCCATAGGTTCAAGGTCAACCTGGCAACTTGGCGAAACCTCATCTCTACAATAAATCAAAATATTACTGCCGGGTTCGGTGGCTCAGCCTGTAACCCCGCGCCTTTGGGAGGCTGAGGTGAGTGGATT